TAAAATAGATAATGCACAGCAAATAAATTACTAAGGAAATTTGTACAATAATGTGTCCCTTTTCTTTCCTATAGAGGTCCCTCCCATAAAGTGCATCAATGAAGGAGAACCGGCTGCCCAAGAATAATGCCAGTCTAACTTCTGGGAGTGCTGAGATACCAGTGCCAAGACAATTAGGTGCTGTACTAGATTCCCATGGCTGTTACAATAAATGGGCACAAAATTGGTGGCTTAAAACAACAAAAATTCATTTTCCCACAGTCCTGGAGGCCAGAAGTCCAAAATCAGTGCTAATGGAATGTATTCTTTCCAGAGGCTGTAGGGGACAATCTGAGCCTCTCCCTTTCCTGCTCCTGCTGCCTGCAGCTTTCCTTGGCTTGTGGCTGCATCACTGCAGTCTCTAAGGCCAGCCCCTTCACATCTGGTCTATCTTCAGATCACTTTCTTTGCTGTGTCTAGCTCAAATCTCCCTCTGCCTCTCTCAGAAGGAACTATATGATTACATTTGGGACCTTTCATGAGAATCTTTTGAGCCCAAGATCCTTAACTTAATCAAATTTGCAAAGACATTGCCATGAAAGTTAATGCTTACTGGTTTCAGGGATTAGGACCTGACCTCTTTTCAGGGGACATTTTTTAGCCTACCATCAGTACCAAAGACACAAAGTGCATATATATCAGATGACTCTAATCAAATAACTTTTTAAAATTTCAAATTATCCCTTGAAGTAGAAATCACGTTAAGTCTTCTGGGATAATTTACATTAGCAGATGAATGAATGACACTCTTCCTGACAGCACTGAGACTATCATTAAATGGACATGAATTTCATTCAAGGAAAAAAAAATCAGAAAAGTTGGCTTCAAAGGATCCATTACCAGGTAGGTAGGAATTAAGAGGCAGTAGGAACAAGGCATTAGAAAATGTATGCAGCCAACGAACATATGAAAAAAATGCTCATCATCACTGGTCATTAGAGAAATGCAAATCAAAACCACAATGAGATATCATCTCATGCCAGTTAGAATGGTGATCACTAAAAAGTCTGGAAACAACAGATACTGGTGAGGATGTGGAGAAATAAGAATGCTTTTACATAATTGGTGGAAGTGTAAAATATTTCAAACATTGTGGAAGACAGTGTGGTGATTCCTCAAGGATCTAGAACCAGAAATACCATTTGGCCCAGCAATCCCATTACTGGGTATATACCCAAAGGATTATAAATCATTCTACTATAAAGACACATGCACATGTATGTTTATTGCAGCACTACTTACAATAGCAAAGACTTGGAACCAATCCAAATGTCCATCAATGATAAACTAAAGAAAATGTGTCACATATATACCATGGCATACTATGCAGCCATAAAAAAGAATAAGTTCATGTCCTTTGCAGGGACACAGATGAAGCTGGAAACCGTCATCCTCACAAGCTAACACAGGAGCAGAAAACCAACCACCACATGTTGTCACTCATATGTGGGAGTTGAACAATGAGAACACATGGACACAGGGAGGGGAACATCACACACTAGGGCCTGTCAGGGGGTGGAAGGGAAGGGGAGACAGAGCATTAGGATAAATATCTAATTGCACGCAGGGCTTAAAACCTAGATGATGGGTTGATAGGTACATCAAACCACCATGGCACATGTATACCTATGGAAAAAACCTGCACGTTCATCACTTGTGTCCCAGAACTTAAAGTAAATAAATTACTTACTTAATTTTTAAAAAAAGAAAATAAATTAATATTTTAGCAAATCTAAAAAAAAAAAAAGAAAGAAAAAGAAAAAAATAACAGCATGCAAATCCCATGGAAGGGTTCAGAAGGAAGAAGCAGAAAAACGTCCTTCTCATGCCCACCTCAGTGGAAAGCCATTCCTATGTACATGCCAGGAGGGAAATGAGAAGCTCTGCCCACCAAATGTCATTCTGCAGGTTTATTCTTCCACTCCCTCAACCAATGCCTTTTGAGCATGTATTATGTACCAAGTACTGCCCACAGCACTGGGGACAGAGCAGCAAACCCATAAGATAAAGATGCTTCCTCTCTGAAAAGCCACATCCTAGCGAGAATTAAGTCAGTTCAATGTAGCACCTGTTTACAGAGGACCTACTCTGTGTCAGACACTTTGGGGAACAAGATAAAATCACTTCCTGCACTGAACTTACTTTGTAAAAGTAAATTGGTGATATTTCCAAGGAAGTGGCCTATATTCCCTAAGGTGAACACCTAACCCTCCAAATAATCTAGGCCAGCCGAAGGTCAGTACAGAAGCCCGAAGCACTTAGAAAAGCCACTCCTTCCAGCAGACATTTTTTAGGATAGGGTATGGTACCTAGAGCCACTGTTCTCTGTGCCCTCCTCACATCTCAGCCTCGCATAACGGATTCCGAGCGCTCCTCCTGTCTATCTGATTGCATACTCCATGCTTCCCACAGGAGGGCTGCATGATTAAGTGACATTCAATCTTCTCTGCTGGGAGATGTCAGGCCCAGCGGCATCATGACACACAGTGGGCACCCTAGAGGCTGAAGGGGGAGAAATCCTGAGCAAGTGAAGAGTAGGGTAGTGGGGCGGGGGTGGGGGACGAGGCGAAGGTGGCTCCTTTTCATTCTACACGTGAGCTTCTCTGGGTCCCATAAATTCCTCTGCCCTGTATATTTCACTCAGCTGTCTAAATGAGGTTTGCTCATATAGCCACCACTGTGCAGAATCAATCATGCCCTTCTGCACAGAATGTTAATTGTGTGCCTCTCAAAAAAAAAAAAAAATGGAGCATACCACAGAGGCCTTAGAAAAAATTCAAAACCAATTTTTTGGAATTTACAATACTTTTTAAATTGCCATGTGAAGTAAATAGTCACATACACAGGCATGATCCAGCTGCAATCCAGGTGCCTTTTTCAAGGCTGGGGAGAGAAATATTAAGAAATCTCTTCACACTTCCATCAATTATTCCACACAACGCTTTTAGGGCCAGCTGCTGAACTGCCTGAATAAAGAAACCCTGAGCACTCTCAGTAACTACTGTCCTCAGTTAACTCCACACAAAACAGCCCATTCAAATTAACCTGTGCTGTAAGTCCTCCTTTATATCTAGCAGGCGTTGGCTCATCTCAGAGGTAGGAAAAGAAATTAAAAAACCACACTCCTCCTCCTCCTCTTCCTTATACCCAAAAGCAAGAAATACAATAAGCTGATTATTACAAAAGTAAAACTAAGTAGATGAGTGACAACTGAAAATGTCTTCACCAAGTCACCTTCTAAGTGCCAATAGTCATGTCTATTTCCATTCATATATCCTTTCTTTATTTTACAGAGGTCACATTATTAAACTAAAGGTCATGTGCTTAAAGAGGGCAGAAATGCTTTGAACACACATGCATGTGTACGCATGCGCGCGCACCCGCGCGCACGCACGCGCGCACACACACACACACACACACACACACACACACACACGTCTCTTGCAGGGAGGGCAAAGAGCTGACTCCACAGCCAGACCCTTCAAGGATCCCATTGTTTCCTAAAGGACTGGATGGACACAGTGACAACCAGATTGCTTTCCACCACCAATTTTGGAAACATGTGAAAAATACGGTTTGCTGCTTGCTGGTATGTGGTCCGAGATGACTCATAAATCTTCCTTTATCTCCTTCGTGGTGTTAGCAGAAAAGGATGAGTTGCTTTTTTCCATCTCATTCTCCCGTCTATCTGTCTGTTAGCCGTGCCCTTGAGCAAAGATTACTGATGCCCTGCCTTTGATATATGACACATCACCCACAGCAGCTTTTCATCAAGTGAATTAACCTGGAAAAATGCTAAACCCACCTGCCAGTTGCTTCCAAACTTTGCACAATTCCTTTGTGTACTTCCTCACTACCATGCACCAGCCAGAAGGGTAACCTAAGCAAGCTAAAGAAACACGGAAAATTACGAGAATCTAAACGGGGGCTCTGTGAGCTCACTCACTTGCTGGGAATAGGCTGTTTTTGCATAAAGACTTTCAGAGGGAGTTTAAATGAAAAACTCTAGCTCAACCACAGTTTAAAATGCTTTGCACTTGAGCTGGAAAATGCCATTTTCCCCCAAGTCGTTTACTCTGTGTGGCTGGAATAATGACAAGAGTCTTGGCAGCTGTTGATGACATGGTTACAGAAACTATTTGGTGACTTCCAATCAATAATCTAGATGGGCTGGGGAGAAGCCTGGAGCAGGAAGGAGTGCGCAGGCAGGAGAAGGAGAGAGGTAGAAACGGGGAGGCTAAGACAAGAAGGGAAAGCAAGCATGAAATGAATCTGGGCTCTTCTACCAGCCCCACCCTCAACCAGGGCTTCATGCAACCAGATTCACTGACAAGCAGTCCCTCAAGTCTCCTGATTATCATGGAAGAGTAAACAAAGACAGCACACTTACGCTTGATACCTTGCTGGAACTCCTAGTCTAAACGTTCAAACAGAAGGAATCTTGGAAAGCATCAGTTTGCGCCCCTGCATCATTCAGCCGGAGAGAGCTGAGATTCAAAGAGAGCCGCTGACCCATCCAAGGTCATTCGGCTAAGCATGGTGGAAACAGGGTTGGAAACCAAGTCTCCCAACTCTAGAGCTCTATGCAATACAACACACCACCTCTCAACCAGGCTTAGGAATGCCTCTCCCTTCCCGCCTCCCGGCCTCGCAAAAATAATAATAATAATAATAATAATGATGTTTGTACTGATTTGAAAGAGCTACAACTCATTGCCGGGAGAAATAAGGAAGACTTCAAAACTAGAACAAAGCTAGACTGCATCTCTTGTTTACCCAAGTCATAAACTGTTTTGCTCTATATCATCCTTGATTCTGATAATAAAGCCATTATTCTTTTCAAGGTGACTTGTCTACTGTGTGTAACTCCTTGAAGGCTTGTGATAAGAGAGGTATTCCTATAATTTAGTCTTTAAAAAATGAAAATCCAAAGAACCTAAACCATCAATCATAACTTCTTGCCTTTACTCTAATTTTAAGGAAAAGTTGCAAAGATTAGGTTTTTGGTTTTTTTTTTTTTAACGACATATTAAAAATCTTTCTCAGGGTCATCCTGGGCTTATTATACATGCAGCCCTATCTTTACCTACATTTATATTTCTGGCCATCAGGAACAAATTTTCTGAAATGACTCCAAAATCTTTCATTGTCAAGGAAAGATTACATTTTCTTATTCACTATACTTCTATAGAAACAAAGGATATTACTGGATTTTAGAAAAACTTTTCACAAATAAAACTTGAACTGAAAGTGGTGTTTTGTAAGTATCAGTCGCAAAATTAAATTATCCAAGACACCCTGTTCTCTGAGCCCAGACAGGAGAAAGGAATAATGTATGCAGACCCAGTGACCGATTAGAATAAAATAGATCTCAAGTCCCCTAGGGAGTCCATTTCTTTCTTGGTAGAAAGAAATGAAGTTTCCTTTTTTTGTGGCCAAGCTAACAGTTGTTCATAAAATGGTGCCTCACTGGCAGAGAGTGGTAGAAACAGATTACATCGCAGTTTCTGGTAAACCTGATTATGGCTGAGACCACATATAGTTAACAATAAAATAAGAATAACATTTATTGAGGGCTTACTATGAGGCTAGGGATCCTAAAAACTTTACCTGCATCGCTTAATGTCCACAGTGATCCTATAAGGTGAATATTCTTATTAATCCCATTTTGTAGATAAGGAAATTGTGGCATGGAGTGGTTAATTACCTCGTCCAAGGATACATATCTGTAAGTGAGGGAGCCAAGATTTAAACTCAGGCAATCTGTCCGAAGTCCATAGTGGTTTACAAGGTGCATGTGATTCTGGTTTCTTGTGTCAACACGCTACTCAAGTGCCTGGGCACTGCACATCTTCAGTTACAGCAGGGGTGCCCAATATTTTGGCTTCCCTAGGTCACATTGGAAGAAGAATTGTCTTGGGCCACAGATAAAACACACCAACACTCATCATAGCTGATGAGCTAAGAAAAAAAAAATCCCAGAAACATCTCAAATGTTTTAACAAAGCTTACAAATTTGTGTTGGGCCACATTCAAAGCCATCCTGGGCCACATGTGACCCAACAGGCTGCGGGTTGGACAGGCTTGATTTACAGGGAAAACAAAACATGGTCTGAAAACCAGCCCAGTGTCAAAAAACAACAATGACTATTCCCCTTGTTACTGTGCTGTGCACAACTGCCCTCTCTTTGAGAGAGGAAACCTTGGGGTCCTTCAAAAAGTTATGCCAGGCCTGGTATGTGGCTCATGCCTATAATCCTAGTACTTTGGGAGGCCGAGGTAGAAAGATCATTTGACCTCGGAAGTTCAAGACCAGCCTGGGCAACATGGCAAAACCTCCTCTCTACAAAAGATATTTAAAAATTAGCCAGACATGGTAGCACATGCTTGTAGTCCCAGCTACTCAGGAGGCTAAGGTGGAGGGATCACTTGAGCCCAGGAGGCAGAGATCGCAGTGAGCCAATATCACACCACTGCATTCCAGCCTGGGTGGCAGAGCCAGACCCTCTCTCAAAAAAAAAAAAAAAAAAAAAAAAAAGTTACACCAAAATCTCAGGGAATTAATTTTTATCATTTTTTAGGCTGCATTCTCCTTGCTTCCTAGATATCCTTCTTTTTTATTGTGGTAAAACATACACACCATAAAATTTACCTTTGTAAACATTTTCATGTATATGATTCAGGGGCATTAGGTACATTCGCAGTTTTGTACCACCATCACTATTATCCATTTCCAGAAAATTTTCATCATCCCAAACAGAAACTCTGCATTCATTAAACAATAACTCCCCAATTCCCTGTCCCCCAGTCCCTGATAACCTCTGTACTTCTTTCTGTCTCTATGAATTTGCCTCCTCTAGGTAACTCATATAAGTGGAATCAGATAGTATTTGTCTTTCTGTGACTGGTTTATTTTACTTAGCATAAGTGTGTTTAAGATTCATCCATGGTGTAACACATCAGAATTTCATTCCTTTTTAACACTGGATAATATTACACTGTAAGTATAGACTATATTTTTTTTATCCACTCATCTGTTGATAGACATGAGTTGCTTTTGCCTCTTGGCTAATATGAATGATGCTGCCATAAACATGGGCGTATAAATATCTGTTCAACAAATACCTTTCTCTCAATTATTTTGGTTACAAACCCAGAAGCGGAATTGCTGGATCATGTGGTAATTCTATGTTTAACTTTTTGAGGAGCCCATCTTCAACTTTTAAAAACTATTTGAACATTTCTGAATTTATAGTGAGTTCCGTGCAGACAAGAACCTTAACTCTTATGTATCTTCGGATCCTGAGAATAATAAGAGTTCTCACTGAATTCTCAACAAACATATTTTATAATGCGAAAATGGATCAAATCAAACTCTCACTCTCTCGTTGCGGGCAGGACGGCACACACTTGGGGCATCTCTCCTCACCACAGTTCACAATGTGACTCGAGTTCACACAGCTGTCTCATTACCTGATTTTTCTCCATCACAAACACACACACAAGCATGTGTATGCCCTGATGCCAAAGAACATCAAGAGCACCCTAAGGCAAACATCAAAAGAGGTGAAAAGAAGTCAGTAAAGGATTAGCTATTTTACTGATGGATCGGAGGTCCTCACCCACCACCCTCATCCTTCCCTATCCACCCTGTCTGCAGTGAGTAGTGAGACAATCAGAAGAGATTTCTTTAAACTTTGCCCTTGCTGAGCCTTCTATTATAAAATATGGGGACAGGGGCAGGGGAGGGTGGCGGTGGTGATGGAAGGCCTTGCTTCTGCCACAATTCGAATATCAATACCTCTTTTAGTTCATTAATTCATCAAGAGGGTATTTTTCAACACATTAAATTCAATTTCAAAAAGAATGAGCTGACACAGTCAAATGCACACGACCAAAATCCATAGTGGGCTTCCCCGGCTGCCCTTTCCAGCCACTCTCAATCCCATCTTGGGGGTCCAGGCATCCATTATCCGGCTAATTGACAGACCTGACTTAGGAAGGGTAAACTCCAGCCTGTCATCTGGGCTTTTCATTACTTAAATGCATTCTGACTTGAACTATATTAATGGGACTCCAAATTTTAACTATTGATGGCTTTCAATGGGAATTTACATTTCTGTCCCCCGGGGCCCACAAATCACTAAATTCTCACCTGTGGTGAAGACAGCCACAAGGGGGAATTGGTTTCAAAGACAGAAAACAGTGATAACACATGCACTGCACTTTCCCATGAGCAAATACACGTAATTGTCTTTTCCCCCTTGTTCTACATTAAATTTTCAACTGTTTACTACATCTTTTAATGAAAGCAGTGACTGAAAAATATAAACATGGATACATAATTCCCAATGAATTGGTCTGACTATAACTTGTAAAAACTGGATTAATGGTACAAAGCATGTACTTTATAAAAATAGCCTGTAGAAAAAAGCATTAAGCAATTACAACTCTAGCTCTGAAGGTTCCAATATTATAGGGTAATATTTCCTTAATGTTAGACTTCATTAACCCTAAGATAATCTCTCATAAATTTTGCTGATTTTTAAGGAGAAAAAAATAAATTATGTTTATTAAACTACTGAATATGTTTATGAAAACAAGACATAATCTAGTGCCATAAACTTCTTGTCTTTATCTGAATGATCAAGAAGCTCATAAATAAAATATCACATAACAAAGTGAGTGTTAAAATTCATTACTGTAATAGCTCTGTTCATGATCTATTTCATTAACACTCCTCCTCTCCTTGGATAAATGGGCTTCTTAGCCTACGAGAAGAAAGCCATTTACAAGACAAAATACTGAGCTGCTTTTTCTCATTTTCCCTTATCTCTTCTATTCCTAACTTTCTAAATTAATTCTTCTCTTAAATCTTATTGTTCCTTCAGTGTAACTCACAGTACCATTAGAGAGAGCAGAGAGAAATAGATGCAAAGAAATGGGTCTACAGAGTATAAGTTAATTAGGGATCTAAGTGACTGGTGATGAGATTTGATGACATGGAGCCCCAAAGTGAATTTAGAGGCTTATGTTCTTAAAATATTTGAGAATAAAATACAAATAATAGAACTCCAAGAAATACTCAGTATATCAAGCAATCTACGCGAGCTTAATAACTAAACCCCATTTCCTGTTTAACTACATAGCGCAGTACCACTGATTGTATCCATGTACGGAATTTGCTAACCTTTATCTTCAGTGATTTTGCAGGTAATTTCATTTTTATAGATACGTATACACAAAAACACTCAGAGAGAAAGGTGAGTGCTTTCCTGTGGTTTACCAAGAACAGATAGATGTGGATACATGGGACTCTAAACCCATAGGTATAAATATACCAATTGAAATCACCAAGTGAACTTCATGACTGAAAAAAATATATACCGGCAAAGGAACAGAGGTTCTGTGTCCCACCCCTTGCAATTTGTTTAATCTTAATTCAACAGAGTCCTAGGATGTAGCATCCTCTACCCAGATAATAACCAGAGGATGCTGTTTATGATAATGGCAGAAATTAAAACAGAATTTTACAACCGCTGAGCTGAAAGAAGGCAAAACTCCCCACACGAATATTAAACAGTGTAAATAAAAAAGAACCCACTTTTTTTTATTCCATACTCCATGCCAATTTATCTAGCACTGATTTATTACAAAGACCACACTCACAAAACTCTACGTGGCTATAGATAATAAAAGTAATAATTAAACTCCACAAACATACGAAGGGCGTGGAGTTACAACATAGCTCCTGCCCTCAGGAAACCTCCCCTTGGAGGGCCCAGCCTAGCATTTGCCTTGCTGCCACATGGACAGACTGTGAAAAGCCTCTACCAGATGACAATACAGTGTGGGGACCGAGCAGCGCTGACCAGGCCCCAGCCAGGGCTGAGGGATGAGATGAAACTGAGTGGGGACTTCAAGAACAGACCAGATCTTGATGGAGAAGGGATCCCATACGGAAGGAATTTCATGGGCAACATTTCTCACAGTGGGCAGATTAGAGGTGAGAACTTAGCTTCTGACTTTTCAAACTGATTTGGCAACAGAAGGGAGCCCAGCTGGCCCTTCCCAAGAGGGCAGGAGGACACCCAGGTGAGGAAAGCAAGCTCCCAAGCAGCACTTCCAGCACCTGACTCACACCCTTTCTCTCCAATTACTACACAGGCTTCAGAAGTTCCCGCTTCTGGTTTGCCTGCCTCGCCAGGGTTCAGTAAGAAAATTCCCTGCTGGTCGGGCACTGTGGCTCTTGTCTCTAACCCCAGCACTTTGAGAGGCTGAGGTGGTGGATCACTTGAGACCAGGAGTTTGAGACCAGCCTGGCCAACATGGTGAAACCCATCTCTACTAAAAATACAAAAATTAGCTGGGCGTGGTGGCACACACCTGTAAACCCAGCAACTTGGGAGGCTGAGGGAGGAGAATTGCTTGAACCCAGGAGGTGGAGCTTGCAGTGAGCTGAGATCGCACCACTGCATTCCAGCCTGGGTGACAGAGAAGACTCCATATTGAAAAAAAAAAAAAAAAAGGGGAAAATTCACTGGAAAAACTGCCCCACAAACTTTACAACACAGAGTAAAGTGGTCTGCTTTAAATTAAAAAGCTGGCAACTACTGAGCACTTACTGTGTTTCAGGCACTGTGCTAAGTACCATATGTACCATCTTAACTCAGTGAATCCTCAAAACAGGTCCACTATGATCCCACTGCACACATTTTTTAAGGGGTGGGGGGAAAGTGGTTAAGACACATGCCCAAGGTCACACAGCTGACAAGCAGCCAGGCTGGGATGTAAATATGGGTGGACCAATGCCAGGGCCTCCACTCCTAACCACCGCATGTGACAGGGATCACTATGTGCTTTCAAAAACCCACTCCCTCGACTCCTGGACATACAGGTAGACATTCCAGCCTCTCTGCAGCAGGTGTGACCTGTGACTGAGTCCCAGCCAATGGCATGTGGGACACCCTGTGTCCCATCTCCAAGCCTGGCCCATCAAACCTCCTGTACAATTCCCTACATCCTTTCTCTTCCCCTGAGTGCTGGCTGGGAGAAAAACATCCAGCAGAAAACCTGAGGCCCCTGGGAATGGGAAGGGAGGTTGGGAGGATAGCAGAAGGATAAAGGAGACAGATTTTAGGTGAGAAAGAAACTTTTATTGTGCTAAGGCCTGGAAATTTGGTTTCTGCTCTCTGCCTTTGAAACCAGTTCCCCCTTGTGGCTGTCTTCACCACAGATGAGAATTTAGTGATTTGTGGGCCCCACGGGGACAGAAAGGTAAATTCCTATTGAAAGCCATCAATAGTTAAAATCTG